ATATGTTTAGAGTTGATTCAGAGATAAATGATTTGAGTTAGGTTTGTTCTTGAGATCTTAAAGGATATACCTGTAACACTTAATCTTTGAATAAAAGTTATTATAGTTAATTGTGAGTTCTATGAACATGCCTTGTTGAATATTGATGGTTGGTTGATGTTATTTTGATCTTGTTGATGAATATTATTGAGAAAATAATTATTTTAATTATTATGTTGAGTTATGATGAAAAGTGTTGAGTTATGTTGAGATGTTTGGTTTAGAGAGGAACCAGTGACGAGTATTGGATTTGGAGGTTTGAGATGAGTATTGCATTTGTTTGTCACATTCATGCATCGTGTATATCAGAGATAGGTAGGACTTTGGTCCAATGACAGATAGGACTTTGGTCCAGTGACAAGTTCCAGGCTTAGAGAGAAACCAATGACGAGTTTCAGATTCAAAGAAGAACTAGTGACAAGTTGATTAATCTGTAACATACCTCTGACATCCAAAACTTTGGTACCACGTGCATTGGAGTAGAGGAGATGAATACATTGCACACATAATTGCATTTGTGACAGATTATTGTTGTGAATGGATTGTATGATTGATTAACTATGATAATTGTATTATCCTTGTTGTTTATACACCGTTAACATATGTCAATGTGTTCTAACCCCCTGTTTGTTTCTGTGTTATTCTTTACCCATGTGGTCCAGATACTCAGGTAGAGGAGCCTTAATTATTGTTTGGATTGAAGGATAGTGTAGTTGGCTTTCTTCATTGCTCATCATTTTTTAGTTTATTTTAGTTTCTGTGTGTCGCTCTGATAGTGTAACACTGGGATGTGTTACCTTTATATTTTGTATTCTGAGAGTTGTTGAACTATTTATTTTACTATTAAAAATGAAGTTAATTTTATTTATGAGACAAGTAAAGTTGTGTTGAGATTTATTTTCGTTTCTATAATATGATTTGAGGAAGATGTTATGCTGAGAAAACGTGACACCCTTTTTAAGTAAATTATTTCGCATATTTTAAAAATTAAGTGTTTGTAGTTAGGGTGTTACATAGTCGATATAAGAGCAGGTCGGTTTGTTCGGCCTAGATTTTGTGAACTTGTTTATACCTTTGTGTGAGGTATGGGTGCAAACACTGTATATGCTTGATTTTGTTAACCGATATTTGCTTTTTTGTTTATGATTAGTTAACATGTCTTGGTGGGTTATGCAGAAATAAATGGTTGGAGGTAAAAAAGATCAAGCGATTGTAAAGGATCTTGGGGTGATGGCTCGGGTGATGGCACGAGCGAATGGAGCTTTGTAGGCGAATTGAATCAGAATGGTGGAGCTGACGAGTTTCGTGGGCTGGAGAAATTTCAGAAGAATAACCCCCATACTTTCAAGGGAATGTATGATCCCGAAGGTGCCCAAACTTTGATTAAGGAGTTGAGAATATTTTCAGGGTTATGACGAGCACTAATGCGCAGAAGGTGTTGTTCGGAACACATATGATGTCTAAGGAAGCTAAGTATTAATTGGAGAATATCCGCCAGAGGATGGAAGCTGCTAATGATAAAATTAATTGGGTTAATTTCATTATTGAGTTTCTGGACAAGTATTTTCCAACTGATGTTCGTAGCCGCAAGGAGATCGAGTTCTTAGAGTTAAAGTAAGGTAATATGAATGTGGCTAAATATGTGGCCAAGTTTGAAGAGTTGTTTAGATTTTGTCCCCATTATAATGGAACTGGAAGTCCAGGATTCCGAGTGAGTGAAGTTTGAAAGTGGATTACATCTTGAGATCAAATAGTTCATCGAGTATCAGGAGATTTGTCGTTTCTTTGTGTTGGTCAACAAGACAAAATTTATGACGAGGATAGTAAAGTTAAATTTTCTCACTACAAGAGTGTGAGTGAGAATCAGAGAATCAGATAGAAGAGCCTCATCGAGAGTTGTTTTTATCAGGAGATTTTTTTGGGGGGAAATTCTTTAAATGAGGGAGAGTTGTAACACCCTAATTTTTTATTATTTTGTTTTAATTGAGTTTTTTTGTGTTATTTATTTATTTATTTAATTAAATTAAATAAATAAATGAGTGTGGGTAGAATTATTTAACTTAGTGTGAAAGTGAAGAATATTGTGGTTTAGTATAAACAAGAATTTAATTGTATTTTTATAATTTTTAGTTATTTAAATAATAGGACAATGTGAGAATATGAGTTTTGGGCTTTAAAATATATTTCTAATCAAATTAGGGTGGTGGTGGGATTAGTGAAAATTGAGGGAAGTTGTAGAATTAATTAAAATATAAATAAAGATATGGTTTTTATTTAAATAAAGAATGAAAGAGAGAAGTTGTCGGTATGTAGAATTTTGGGAGAAAAAATATTAAGGAGAGAAAGATGCAGCCCTATGAAAGATTTTGAAGGAGAAGCGGGAGTTCATAACTGTAGCTTCGAGATTTTCAGCGAATTCGAGATAAGGGAAAACTATTCATGATGTGGGTGTTTAGCCATAAAGGATAAAGATGATTCCTTATCCTATTTCCTTTTTATTTTCTTTTTCCTCCATTTATGATGTTTTGAAGCTTGAGAAGGTTTGTACAAAACCTCTTTAAGGCGTTGTGATAAATGTGAATTCTGTGTTCTGTTGATTGTTGATTTTTCATGTAAATTTGTATGCATATTCTTGAGTTTTGATATTCAAGAGCATAAATGCTAAATTGATAAAGTATGTTGATGTTTTACGATAAAATGAGGACATAAATGTTGAATTTGTGATGTTTGAGGTGATACAATGTTATATCATTCTTGGTTGTTAATTTGTTGTGCGTTTGGGGCGGCTGAGACTCAAATAGGTGAGTTTTAGATCTCTTCAATAGAGAGAAAATCAAAAAACTTAGAAAATTAAAAAAATCGGATAAATCCCAAAAAAAAAGTCAGAAAAGTCGAAAATTAGATATGGTACGAAACCGGGTACTACACTGAATCAGGCTAAAAAAATTTGGTCAAGATGGAAGGTGACGACGACGAGTTTTGCGGTCCTATTCGACAAGTTGTAAGAGCTTTTCAATTCATTTTACAAACCTTGAATTTTGTATAGTTAAGGCGTGGATTTTGGAAAACACTTGCCAATTACAGTGTGACAATTTTAGAGTCGAGGCAAGAGTTGTGAGAAACCTTTTGAGTGATTTAAGGAGTTTGAGTTATTTGGTATATTTAAAGTTATTTGAAATATTTAGAGTTATTTGAAATGTATAGAGTTGAGTTTGAAATGTTTAGAGTTGAATTTGAAATGTTTATGTCTGAGTTTGAACTATTGGTGTGTTTAAAATTGAAGTTGAGTTTAAGTTTGATTACGCAATTGTCGAAACATCCCTAAATCGTGTAGACTTAAAGCCTTGGAGTCTTTACTTTGATGGTTCAAGTCACAAAGAGGGAATAGAGATTGGGATTTTGATCATTTCACCCTCAAGAAACCCAACCAAATTCAAGTTTAAGATCGAAGGTCGTTGTTCTAATAATGAGGCTAAGTATGAAGCTTTGATAGCTGGTCTAGAGATCTTGTTAAACTTGGGGGCAAAAAGAGTGATGATCAAGGGCGATTTATAGTTGGTACTGAAACATATGACCAAAGAATACAAATGTGTTAAAGAAAACCTGATATTGTACTTTGGTATAACAAGATCGTTACTAGAAAAGTTTGATTCTGTTGAGATTAGATATGTGCCTAGAGTGAAAAATCACAAGGTAAACGATTTGGCCCAAGTTGCCTCAGGATATAAGGTTCCCGAGGAAAGATCGGAAGACCTAATCGAAGTCAGGACAAAGTTGATTCCACCTAACATCATCCTACAAAGCTTATTGGCATTAGAATCCATGGGGGCTGGTAGACACGGGATGATAAAGTTTAGAGAACCAAAGAGGTATGATGTCTTCGCCATTGATAACTTGTCTAATAAGGACTGGTAAAAGGCCATTGTAGAATAATTAGAGAACCCTACAGGGGCAACAGATTGAAAGGTCTGATATAGAGCGTTAAGTTATACAAACATGGGTAATGAATTGTTTAAGAAAATCACAGAGATGCTTCTTTTGAAATGTCTTGGTGAAAACGAAGCTTGTATAGTGGTTTCTGACGTCCATAGTGGGTCTTGCAGCGCCCATCAGACAGGCCATAAGATGAGATGGCTTATGTTCCGACAAGACGTATACTAGTCGACAATGTTAAAAAAACTACATAGAATTTGCTAAAGGGAGCCAAAGTTGTCAAAAGCACACTGGAATCTAGCATGTGCCTACCCACAAGTTGCATCGACTATGAAGCCTTGGCCATTAAGAGATTGGGCTTTAGACCTGATCGGTGAGATTCGGCCCACATCCTCCAAGGGTCACGAGTATATCGTGGTGGGCATATATTATTTTACCAAATAAGTCGAAGCAATTTTGTTAACAGACGTCGACCAAGACGTTGTGATAGAGTTTATTCAAAATCATATTATTTGCAGGTTCGGATTGCCTGAAACTTTGACCACAGGCCAAGGTTCAGCATAATTGAGTTATTGAAAAATAAAGAAAAGAAAAATATATTCTTTGCAACGCCAGAACTAGCATAAGCATGACAAGAGATGATATGTTTGCATCACGATATTTAAATATATGTCCAAGTGCTGATTTGATAATGTAAGCATTTTGTTTATTGGTAATCTCCACTCTTATCAACTTTGGATGCTTAAATTGTGCATGGAATATACAACTTGTTATAGTAGATGAATAGTAATGTAATCACGCACCAGAAAAAAAATATTCTATCACCGCAGCTGAGATTGTCATTACTTTTCACTATCATAATTTTTCCAACACCTAAAGAGATTACAATGGGATAAATTTCTCATGTTATAAATATTTCCAAACCAAAAGAAAGGTGCTATTACAGCAATCATAATTCTTCCATACAGAAATTGTACTAATTCGCATGTAACAAAAATTATGGACGAAATCTATCAGACGTGAATGGCTCACTTCACTTCAATTCCAAGTCGACATATTGAGTTTTTCTTTATGAGGCCAAGATCCACCTGCAAAAATACATGATTTAGGATAATATATTAATATCACTTTGCAAATTCAAAAACAGTATTTAGAATAAACAGAGTGGTTTATTCAGATCAAAATGGCATAACAAATACCTTGTGTCCAAAGAGATCCCTGATGTTATCTATTCCATACATTATCATTGTTGGCCTGTTTAAAAAAATAACAAGTTAACATCAATTCAATGACCTCCATAAACATGTTGTATTGTATTTCCTCTATATATTCATTAGATTTGGTTAGAATTTAGATTTTATAAATCAAATCATTTTACTGCTAGCAATGATTGTGGCGTTCTCGGTGTTTGTTCTCTCACCTTTCAAGAGAAAGGCCCCATGCAATAACTTGGACATCCTCAGGAAGTCCCATCGGCCGCAACATTTCAGGTCTGAACATGCCAGAGTTTCCTACCTCTACCCATTTTTTAAAGCCTTCGTGATAACTGTTATAAGAGCACTTGCTTGATTAGTATGTAATGTCTAAGGATATTCATTATCAAGATAACAAGCCAAATCATTAGAGAATCTGACCTGAAAATCTCCATGCTAGGTTCTGTGTAAGGATTGTAAGCAGGTTTGAATTTCAGCTTGGTCATGCCTGAATTCAAAAACAAATTTTTCATCCAAGATCAACAACATATTATATGTACTCCGAATCCTAAAACCTATTTTTAATAAACTTGAGTGGGGCATTAATCATTTAACTAGAACTTACATTCAACATTTAACTCATAGAGTTATTCATTATAAGGGAGGAGTATTACCTAAGCGTGAGAAGAAATCATGTAGAACACCTATTAAGTCACAGAGAGTGAGTCCTCGATCGCATACAAGGCCTGAATTGAAATGCAAAATCAAGGGTATCATAAAAACCAATAAATATGAATGTGGAAAAATAGTTGAGATTAAACCCGTGGTGCATCAAACACAAAAAAGTGATATGGAAAAATGTATTCGAGTAGTTCCCCACCGCCTCTTTTGTACGAAGATGAACAATTTAAGAATTAAAACCCTGATCCCAGTTACTTACTAGCTCACGTACCTTCTATCTGGTGGAACTCGGCAAGATGTGTTCGGTCCACCGCTTCATTCCGGAAGACACGATCTATGGAAAAATATTTTTTCGGAACAAATGGTTTCTGCAAAGACATTGAGAAGGCATATAAGAAAAATGATGTAGGCTATAATGAGTAGTAACAACCTAGAAAGTATAACCAATTATCTCTGGAGATAGGGAAAAGGCAAAAACCAGAATACAGAAGCACAAATTAGAATAGCTTAATCAACCTCTAAAACATAAATACATAAACTTCAATCTAAAATCTTTAGGAAAAATGAAAATAATATAGGAGGCCCAATGGCCCCAAACTCAACACAATCATATGCATTCATAAAAACACGACACAACAAATTCAGACACAGATACAGACTTGTGCTAGCTGGTAAAGCATCCTGGAAGAAACAGCAGTTGTGTGGGTCCGCAGAAGGTTTTTATTTGCTTCCTCTCTTTTCCAGTCATATGTATATCTACCAAGGAATAGAATTATAAGGTTACCCTCAAAAAGCAATTTGAAACTCATCTCTCTACTGATAAATAGCCTACGATTAAAAAGTGTATAGCATGTTAAGGCACATACCCTCTAGACTCATAACCACCAAATTCATGAACTTTCTTTACTCTCTGAACATAATCTTCAGGAAGTTTCTTTGTTGTTGAAGGAGCTGCATATGAATAACATGCACTCAAGATGGAAGCAAAGAAGATTTGAATAGCATTAAAAAAAATCAATAATTTACTAACCTTCCAAAAAGAATGTGTCATGAGAATCACGGGCGGGATGTTGTTGAGGCTGGAACAAGGAATCAAAGTTCCAGAAGCTGCCATTTAAAAAATTGAGATGTAAAGTTTACAATGAGAGCAGACATGTGCTGCTACACGCCAAACTAAAAACAGTGAGGCTAATCTGTTGATTTTCATTTTATTTTTTAAGAATAAATCTAGCACGAAAATGACATAAATAAGCAAGAATCAATAGATTCTGCAGATTAACAGCATGATTTGTGAAATTCATAGAACAGCTACTTTAATCATGATGTTATGATGCATTTATAACAGTGACTACTGAAGGAAACTTTCCCTGAACATGGGGCGCTCTCAATCATAAACGAAAATTAGCTCAAATATCACTTTGCAATCATTCAAATCAAAGATTTTGGGAATTCCATAATTATTCCACAACTCCACCCTATACCCGCTGAATAACAGATTAAAGTGTACCAATTTAGTGCATCATTTGGATTTGGCTTTTACATTTTAGGGCTGCAAGCCTGCAACTACCTAGCCTATTCAAAAGTTTGAGATTTATTTTATTAACAATTCTACTAAGGATTTATTAAAGGTCAGACTGCAATTGCTTGAAAGTATCCTAAAAGAGAGCCAAGTTTAATTTATTTATTTATTTGGGGGAGGAGTGGGTTATAAAGCTTTACTTACATGGGAATTTCCAGAGTCTTTTCTTCTCTTCAATTATTAATCTTTAACTTGGACATTATTAAATTTATTGTTATTTGTTTATACATTTTGTGCATACTTAGTAGATTAGAAAAGCCACTAGGATGGGACAGGGGCAAGGGGTTTGGATGGTTTATATGAGATCATAGGTTTAAACCTTATTTCCGGTACACCAAAAGCTATAAATCATAAACACTAGAAAGGTGTATTGGCACGGAAACAAATCAACAATTACCTGCTCTCAACATAATTATTTGTGGGCATCTCCTCAAACCTGCAACATTGAATTACCATTACTAAATGTTAATCTCAGAGGTTGAAACAAATATTTACCACACATGACATCAGGTTTCACCAGGACAAATATAAGACTCACCCCATACAGTGGAAGATCTGCTTTATTTGACACCGTACCTAAAAATGGAAAATGTCCAAAACTATTAAGTACACAAATGATCGGGTATGTCCAGGATAAAAGCATATCAACAACAACAAAGTGTTGAGTTTTTTCGGTAAATTTTTATATAGGTTGGTTTGATAGTCCAGGCTTAAGGCCAGCAATGTGAAGATAGGAAACAAAGCATGACATAAGTTGAGGTATTTTTCCGGATACAGACATCACCATAATTAAAATCATAACATGCTTATACTAATAGTATAGAGCCCATACCGAAACTACTAAAAAATGCACAAAAAGAAACACAAAAACTCGTATATGCCTTATTGATATAAATCAAGAGTATGATCAATGCATTCCATATCAAGCTACAAACTTAAATATGCAAAAACAAACTATGCTTTTGCCCATGTATTCCTAAATATGAATTTTTCGATGGTGAGTAAAGTTTCTATAGCACGGGGGGAGGAGGGACTTGGAAATATCCTCTTGCCTTTAACAGTGGATGAAGACTGCCACCTTCAAGAGGTTGGCCTTTAGCACTGTAATTGTACTCTTTGAATTCTATTTCCTTCCACTCACCACTGCAAGAAAGTAACACAGTATAGTCAGATTTAATAAAGAAATGATGCAAATCCACTAAAATGTCTTGCACAAAGAAGAAGCTTGAACAGAGTTTTAAAAAACCCCAACCCCAAGTTTACATTTAGCTAAGGGGGAAAATATGTACCTCTGAAAATTATCTCGAGTTAAATCAGTGACAACCTTCTTCCTTTTTGGAGCAAAGTTAGGACCCTTTTTCACTGAGTAACACTTCCATGTCCTAGAGTGTAAGAATTCCAATAATGAAAGAGTAGTCAAGTCATCTACACATGTTCATTAAATCGGCAAAACATTGAAGAGCAATCAAGTTAAATTATTATTACTGTGGCACAATAAGCTTTCTTGCTTTGAGTGCTTTGATATCATCTGGACCAATGCCCTGCATTGCAACACATGGTAACATTTCTAATGAGATGTAAGAATTCACAAGGAAAACTGACTAGGAAAATGATAAGTAGCCTGTTGTCCATAAAACTGGTGTCAATCCCACCCAAGTGTCAACAAAATTAAGAAATTTAGCAACAAGACTACTCATGCTAGTAGAACACACCTGACCCTGTTGTATTAGAAGAAGCAAGTTTTTGACTCTGTCTTCCACATGTTGTACCTGCATCAAGAATTTATTTACAACAAATATTTCACTAACCATAAAGTAAAACTCTGAGCACAAAGGAAAAAAGTAAACTAAACATCAAGATGCAATACAATTAATTTGTTACATTGTATGGTAATGTGAATCAAACAAAAAACTAAAAATAGTAAGATTTAGAAGTGTTAACATACCTTCTTAGATATAAGGTGTTTCCCCATCTCAACCCATTTATTCTTAGCAGCCTGAGCACAACCAATCTTGAAAACTGAAGGGCCTAACATTTTCTGCAGCCATATGAAACACTCTCCAATCACACACATGAGATACATTACTAATCAACACAAAGACGGGCAATAATACAAGAAAATTGAAGTGGTTGAGTTTAATCACATATCCAGGGTCATGCATTACATAGTGGTTGTTAGTATAGATAATTTAATTTGCAGCACCTGAAGTTGTTCTCTGGAGATACCTTGAGGCGGAATAGCCAAAATGAGTTGAGCTTCAGGGGATCCCATAGTAGTGTAAGTGTTCCCTTCATCGGTTAAAACCCATGTCTCCCTCTTAATATCCTATCAAGAATAAACAAGCCTAATTTGTGAGAAACGGTTTAGAATTACGAAGTGATTTAGGGTATAGGATAAAGTTAGGTAGGTACCTCAGCATCAACATATCTGAAACCATGGAGACTCTTGATGGTGTTGACGATTTCATTGTGGTCAATGCCGCGTTGGGATGCAAATTCACCGGAATCTATAATCTGGTCGTTGTTTTCCAAGTAACCGAGAACCGCTTCTTCCGCCATTGTCATATCAATGAACTCCAAAACGGTCTATGAAAGTCAATGTGATATCAATGAATCTGTCCAGTAGAGTGACAAAACTAAAAAAGTGAAGAAACATGTGATGCAAGGAAATGCCTATTTTTTGAGATTTTCAGAAAAGAATTAACGCTGCAGTTAAAGTGAAGTAAAGAATGATGAAATTGTATAAGATAAGGTAATGAATTTGAAAAGCAATAAAAGTATACTACATTTCATAAAAATGGGAGTATTGGGAACGAAACATGGCATTATTCACAAAAAAACCCTAAATCAGTTAGCGGTAGAGGGTTCTCAGTTTCATAAGTGGATAAATTTCGAGTATGAAAATATTGGATAAACCTGATTCATACATTAATATCAATAAAATGAACAAGAAATGTTAGAGCTTCACCTGGTTCGAAGATCAAGTGCAGTAAACACAACTGACTAAATGGATGGATAAAACGACAATAGAGAGATAGTTTAGAACTTCGGTTTCAAGTTTTTTTTTTTTTTTTACGGGAAAGCTTCAAGAACATTTTATTTTTTAAGTTTTTATGTGTATGTGTTTTTATACAAACATATTTATTTGCATACCTCATATTCCTATATTCTATAACTACTAAAATATTCGTGGTTCTACAAATATATATTTGAAATAAATTGTTTAATTTTAAAATATTTTTTAAGTTTTTATGTGTATGTGTTTTTATGCAAATATATATTTGAAATAAATTGTTTAATTATAAAATAAATAATAATAATATAAATTTAATTGTATTAAAAAAAATTAAAAAGAAAATTTTATGTAAAATGAATAAAGAAAAAAAATTGATATTTAAAAATAAGATTTTGTGTCTCGGATGAAAACAACTACTAATTAAAATAAAATAGGTATTTTGTTGATAATGACTCGTAAAGAAAGAGAGAAATTTTAACATTAAAAAAAATAAGAATTTTGTGTCTCAAATTAACACAATTGTGAATTAAAATAAAATAGATATTTTGTTGATATTGTCCCGAGAGAAAAACAAAAAAAAAATTGACATTTAAAAATAAAAAATTTGTGTATCAAATAAAGACAATTTTAATTAAAATAAAATAGAAATTTTGTTGAAAGTGTCTGTGATACAGTGAGAGAATTGACTTGGTTGTTTTGCGTTTAATCGTAAATGTTGCGGTTAGTAAGAGTCGCCACCGACTTTTCTTTTATCCAAAAAGAAAGGTGAAAAAGCACGGGAAAGACCTTTGAGATTGTTTCTTGAGTTCGAGGGGTAGATTATGAAAAGGGAAGGTATTAGCACCCTTTTCATCCATGGTTTTCCATGGGCTCTTAGTTACTTGATAAATCACTTGCTTTTGTTTGAAAATGTGCTTTGTGTGGTTTTTGAACGTATTTTGAAAATACGTCATCATTTAGGCGAACTTTGTAATGATTCTCGTTCGTAAGAATGTATACAAAGTGTTGATCTTTTGAAAATGTTTCAAGTTTGAAAGGTGTTTTTGAAAGTGTTGGTGTTTGTTTTGAAAATAACAAGGATGTTTTTGTTTTGAAATTGAGCAAGTAACTAGGAACAATCTACCTACTCAAAATTCTTTCATGTTCATTTCCTTTCTCCTTTGACATTGTTATCTTACCATTGATTTGGTAAGTAACCCTATCTTTGGATGTAAACGGGACGGGCGTGGGTCATCGTATAACCATGATTAGCAATATTGCAAGGTATCTTAGCATCCTTCTTTAGGGACTAAAATCATTTTGAAAAGACAACATAGATAGCGTCATCGAGGGACTATGATCTTGTATTTTTGCTTGTTTTTGCTAAGATACCTCACATGCATAATATGGTCATTTTTACAAGGTAACCAAGTGGATTTTACCCTAGGGGTGCTTGTGTGCAAGTGTATTGATTTGCATGCTTTGTTTAGTCTTTGATTATGGTTTGCTATTTGTTGATTTTATCTTCTCATACAAACCCTAATTACTAGCATTTATATAAAGCGATAAATTGCGAAAAGTAAAATTATTACGCTATTACATCATTAGGGGAGGGGTGTACAAATTTACAAATGGAAATTGCAAGAAAATTAAACCTAATTATCTATTACAACCATATTGAATATTGTACAAAATTGAAAATAAAATGCAATAATATAAATGGAAAAGGAAATGATTTTTGTTGTTTTTATGAAAGGGTTTTGTCTTGACCTAAATAAAGGAAATGATTAATTAAAATTAAATAAAATAAAATTAAACTAATTAAGAAAAGAAACTAATTTGAAAAGGATTTTTTAGGGTTTTTTATGAAAAAGTTTTAAATTAATGAAAATAAAATGAAGATTAATTAATTAAAATAATCTAAGTTCTAAATTAATTTTAACTAAAAAAATAAAATAATATACTAATTTATCCTAAGTCTAAAAATTATTTATTTAAGAAAAGAAAAAAATTAATTTGTTTTAGAAAAATGTTTTTTAGTCTTTTGATTTTATAGAGAAAATAAATATATAAGTATGACTAATAAATTTAAAAATTAAAAAAAAATTTATATGATTTATGAAAATAATGATAATAATAATAATAAAAATATTAATAATAATAATGATAATAATAATAATAATAATAATAATAATAATAATAATAATAATAATAATAATAATAATGAAGAAAAAATAAAATAAAAATAAAAATATAAAGAAAAGTCAGGGGGTTAGAAAATGAAACAAGGAGTAAAATAAGCAAAAAAGGTCAGGCCCGACAAAGGGGAGTCTAACGCTGCAAACAAAAAAATATGAAAATGTAAAAAGAAAAAGCAAAAGGCAGCGTTGGGTCTTGAACCCGTGACCTTGAAGTTACCAGCGCGCTGCCTTACCACTGGAGTGGTTGTACATCTGTTAATATAACTGAAACGATAAATATATAATACAAAACGCGCCCTGATTACACTTCATCTTCAACCTCCAACCAAAGGACATGTATCTTCTTCATCTCTCAACAAAAATGAAAAGTTCAAACATGAAAGTTATGGCATTTCTTCCCACAAATTCAACCATGTAAATAACTTAAGCTAACAGTCAAAGATGAATGAGAATTTTTCTGGCCCTAATTCAAAACATAAAAATTTCAAAAAACTTCAACTCTAAAATTCTCTAAGCTCGGGCCATATAAATGCAAACTATGGATATGTACAACTTTGTGACAATGGTATCTACATTTTATCTTCACAAATGCAAGTCTAACAATGCCTAAATATGAAGATAGAAGTTCAAGAAAAATACCTCAAAACTGGAAATCGTGAAATGGATTTGAGCTTGTTTCAGGCAGTGTTGATGATCAGGTTAGCTTCCTTGGACCTCTAGGAAGCTAATGCAATGGCTGGCTTGAGCTGAGGGTGGCTGGAATGGCCTGGAGAAGTCCAACTGAAATGCTCTATTTTTGGCTATGGAAGTTGATGAAGATGATGTTACAGTCTGCAAACAGGGACAAGGATGGTTTGTATTTGATATGAGGAAGCTTTTGAAACTAAAAGGCCAAGAAATGCACGAGTGGTTTTGAAGATTGAAGTTCAAAGTAAAAAATGATACAAAAATGGAGGTTTTGTGCAATCTGAGTTTTCAGGGAGTTTAGGAGCTTGTATATTCGTGTGTTAGCTTGAAAATAACTTGTATAGTTATATGAAAAAGGTTTGAGGGTTTGAAGTTGACAGAACTGTGAGATATAAAGTTATAGCTATGTTATTTGATTTTGAAGAAAAGTGGGAAAATAAGTTTCAATGTGTAGTACAAGTATGACCTGGGTTTATGGGAGGCTCTAGACATGTTGCTTTTTCCCTTGACATTTCTTGTGTTCAGATGAAACAAGTTAGGAGCTCTATGCATTGACTTTGTGATTAAAGTCACTTTTCCAAAATGGAAGTGTGAACTTTATTCCATTAATGGAATAATCACTTGGACAAAGACTCAAACACTTGGATCATAGCTCAAATAGTTGTGTAATTTTTTGATTATGGATAGATTTAGAGGTTAGAAGCCTGCAAAGTAAGATTCATGCAGCATAGGCTTGGATTTGAATTCTTGTTCATCATGAAATGGCTTGTAATTTAAGTTTGAAAACCCTAACTTCATCTCTTCGATTCTCTTTGCTCACAAATAATCTCAAGGAGTTCTTGGACATTTTAGAAAGCTTGAAATGTTCTATACAATCTCTCTTTGAATCACTTTTGAAAATTCCCCTTGGAACTATATGAAAAAGTGTTATGAAGTTAGGTCAAAATCCTGACCAAAACTAGGGCAAAATTTCACTAAGTGTTCAATTTCAAGACCATGACTTTATGAATTAATAACTTGAGATCCAAGCATTTTTAGAAGAAGTTATGTAAAAGAATGTTGTATATATTATGGAGATCTAAAACTTTCATGTTGAAAGTTTCTTCTGAATCATCTTGCATCAGGGGTGAAAAATTGGCTCAAAGTTATGAAAAAACATGAAGTTTTAAAACACTTAGAAAAAATTTCTAAGTTAGAAAACTTTGACTTTTCAAAATGAAATCTTGACTTTTTTATTTCTTAATGAATAAGTTTCATATTTTGACATGTTTTGATGAATTGTGATCTTTGACATTGAATTTTGACCAAAAAGTCAAAGTTTGACTTTTCAGTGTATAGTTGACTTTTCATCAGTTGACTGAAAATCAACTATCAATCAATTGATCTTGAGGAATGTTTTGAACCATGACATTAGGTAAAAATAAAGTATTTGAATCCTTGAGATCATAACTTAATCCAATCAATCATTTGCTAGGTCAAAAATCAGAAATTGCACCTTTCTCAGTCAAAACCCTAATTTTGACCATTTTGCCCTTTTGATGATTTGATCAAATTTCTTGAGGAATTGTGGTCCAAACTTGATCAAATGATACATATGAGTTTATAATGTTGATGTGGATAAAAAATTGTGAATTTTGACTGTAAATTGGCCATAGTTGACTTTTTCCCCAATACAA